CCGGTCTGTTGGGTTGTAAGCCGGCTGACACGCCGTTACCCACGACGCACAAACTGGGCACGTCGACCACGGCAGTCCTCCATGACCCAGGGCGGTACCGCCGACTTGTGGGTCGTTTGATTTATCTCACTATTACTCGGCCGGATATTTGTTATGCTGTCCATGTTTTATCTCAGTTTATGCAGGCTCCTACTCTCGATCACATGAACGCAGCTATGCGTGTTCTTCGTTATATCAAAGGCCATCCGGGTCAGGGTATTTTTCTCAGTGCTAACAGCAATTTACAAATCTCTGCCTATTGTGATTCTGATTGGGCTAGCTGTCCCATGTCCCGTCGGTCTGTTAGCGGATATTTTATTATGTTGGGGACTTCTCCGGTATCCTGGAAGACGAAGAAGCAAACCACTGTTGCTAGATCGTCCGCAGAGGCGGAATACAGGGCTATGGCAAATGCTTGTGTGGAGGTCCGTTGGATGCGGGGGATTCTCCTCGCCTTGGGAGTTCCTATTTTATATCCTCCCCGATTATATTTTGACAATCAGTCAGCTTTGTATATTGCAGCTAATCCTGTTTTCCATGAACGAATGAAGCATGTGGATGTTGATTGTCACACCGTTCGAGAAAGTGTCCAGCGACATGAGGTGTCAACGAGATATGTTCCTACTCGGTACCAGTTGGCCGATATTTTCACTAAGCCGTTGGGCAAACCTAGTTTTGATTTTTTGTTGTGCAAGTTGGGCATTCAGGATCTTCATGCGCCAACTTGAGGGGGAGTGTTAGCGGATATTTGTATTTAGTTGTATTATTGTATTGGGCCCACACGTGTAACCCTAGCCCGTCTCGTGTAAACTTGTATATATACGGTCTTGGTTGTTCAATGAAAACAGATCAGTTGTCCATACCAATCCTAAATTCTATCATGTTAGAATATATAAATATCTATTCTTGGGCAACAAGCACAAGCTTGAGCTTTTGGTTGAATGGGTTCCTTGACATGGTATCAGAGCCCCGTTGACTAAAAGGTCACTTTCATTTTTACATACTATCCAATGCACTTCTTTAATCCATTTTATCTTGTAATTTGTATATTAAAAAATTATAGAAATTATATATTAATAATCTATATGTTAAGACAAATCAAACAAGATCACACATGACTATATTTAGGCTTACACATTGAGAGAATTTCATGAGTCAAAGTGCTTAGATGAACAGTTCCAAAAGTCAAAAGTGGACAAAAACTGGGAGATAGGAGTATGAAATTTGACTAACCCCAATATTGCTCCCTTTTGGCATAAGTAGACCGTGCCAAGTGTCGTGCCAATATTTGGCACACATGGTTTTGTCATACCAATGAGCTTGGAACTTCGAAATTCCCAGCCCCTCATCCGTGACAAAGTTCGTGCCATATAATGTAGTCATAGAAGTTTAAAACAAGTATCCATGCTGAAATTCATGCCAAAATTGTGTTTTTAGTAGTGATTAGAGATGACTTCTTACATTCTTGCCCACATTAAAGATGTAACCTTAGATAGGCACATCAAAAGAGCTAGGACTAAGGTATAGTCTCATAGGTTTTTGGGCTTGATGGATGTCTCTGTACTTTTTGTTCATTGATTTTTTCTGTTTGGTGCTTTTTGGTTATTTTATTCCTTTGTTAACGTTAACCTTATTTAGTTCTTAGCTACTCTTTTTATGTCTGAGAAACTCATTTTCTTTTTTTGTGTGTCCCATAATTCCTTCTCCTTTATGTTAAAAATTTATTGTTAGACATACTAATTCTTACCCTACATATCGTCATCATACATATTTATTGATGATCTAATCATCATATTCTACTTTTATACACTACATCAAGAGTAATTTAGAAAAACTAATATAAAAATTTATTTTCTTAAATTTCATAAAAATCAATACAAGGACTTTGTGGAACGAAGGAAGTACTTTTTTGTGCTCTTTAAATTGCTTTCTATTTTATGTTGCTCCCAATGTTACCTGTGTTACTCGAGCTAGAAATCTCTTGGAAACATGTATGCATATTTCTCCTTTTAAAAATGAGAAATATTCGATAGAAATTGCTATAAATAAGACTAAAACATAGAAAAAGTACCAAAATAGGATGTTTTTATTTCCTAAATAGGCCAGAGTTTGCACTGTAGTGGAGTTTGCACTGCAGTAATGTGGAGGTAATTTAATGTGGCACTGTACACGTGCACATTACTATACTTTTTGGTAATGTACATGATCACGTTTGGTAATGTAAATATATTTTAACTCTTATTTTGAGAGTAATATGGAAATCTTATTTTGGTATATTTTTAATATTTTACTCTTACTTTAGTCTTTTTTCCAATATCCGAGTATTGAGAACCTCTATGATCATGATCTTGTGGAATCCAACCTCACTATTATTCTGGCGGTTAAAGTTAAACAAGCAATTGAATGAAACATATGCATCATAAATAGTAAAGCAATTGTATATCCATGCATGCCCTTAATTAACACCCTTAATTAACATTCTATATTAAGTTTAATTAATTTCTCGCCATGCAAATGAGTCGTTACAACTCACCCTTTTCTTACCCGCACTAATTAATACTTGGCGCAGCGTAGTCCAAGCTAAGGGCATCTCGCACACAAAGCTTCCACTAAAATGACTTCCAATTCGCCATAGGCCCCCACGCGTACTATCGGTCAAAAAAGGAAGTATTAATAGTAACCCTAATTTTAAAATGATTACAAAATGTATTTATTTCATCTTTATTCTCTCTTTTACAAGAAAAGAAATCATTTGTTGTGTAATTTTCACACTTTTTAAGTGCTTCTATACAAAAAAAAAACATCCTAGGTGCACTTAGTAATTCAAGGACCTTGTCACATGAATAATTAATACTCCCTCCGTTTCTTAAAACCTTCTTCTTTCATTTTTTTTTGTTTTTCTTAAAACACTTCCCTTTTCTATTAAAAAACCACTTTTACCCCTACTTTTTCATACCCTACCTATCACATCATACTTTTTCACTAACAATTAAACTATCACATCTTACTTTTACTCATCACATCAAGGGCAAAATTGGAAAGTCAACTACAATTTAACACTTCCTTATTTTCCCCCAAAGTCAAAAGAGGAACTCTTTTGAGAAACGGATATTTATGGATATTTGTACATTGTTACACGACATATATTGTATTTATTTATGTTGTGACGAATATTTATTTAATTTATTTTTACTCTATACGAAGTACTCCCTCCGTTTCTCAAAAGAGTTCCTCTTTTGACTTTGGGGGAAAATAAAGAAGTGTTAAATTGTACTCTCTCTGTCCACCATAGATCTTTCCAGACACTATTCACAGGGTCAAACTTTACTCAATTTGTTTGCTCATTTTTACTAGTCATATCATAAAATAATATAGTCTTGTCACTTCTAGTTTTGTAGAACTTTTCATGTAGTTTATTACTATATAAATTTTATTTTAAAATTTTACTCCTATAATCAATTAAATTGAATTGAAAATAAAGTCGGTCAAGCCTCGTAACGCATAATGACAAGATCTTACATGGACGGAGGAAGTAGTTGACTTTCCAATTTTGCCCTTGATGTGATGGGTAAAAGTAAGATGTGATAGTTTAGTTGTTAGTGAAAAAGTATGATGTGATAGGTAGTGTATGAAAAAGTAGGGGTAAAAGTGGTTTTTTAATAGAAAAGGGAAGTGTTTTAAGAAAAAAAAATGAAAGAGGAAGTGTTTTAAGAAACGGAGGGAGTATGATATTAAATTTATACTCCCTCCGTCCCCTGTATTTGTCCACTTTCATTTTTACACACCATCCAATGCACTTCTTTAATCTATTTTATCTTGTAATTTGTATATTAAAAAATTATAAAAATTATATATTAATAATCTACTCCCTCCGTCCCAAAAAGAATGGGACAGTTTGACTTTTTGGAAAATTAAGGGAGAGATATTTTGGTATTGACTTTTCAAAAATACTCTTGATGTGATGGGTAAAAGTAGGATGTGATGGTTAGATTATTAGGAAAAAGGTATGATGTGATAGGTAGGGTATGAAAAAGTAAGGGGTAAAAGTGGTTTTTTAATAGAAATGTAACGGACTTTACGGGATGCAGTTTTTTCTAAACGTAACAAACTTTTTGGGACGGATGGAGTATATGTTAAGACAAATCAAACAAGATCACACATGACTATATTTAGGCTTACACATTGAGAGAATTTGATGAGTCAAAGCGCTTAGATGAACAGTTCCAAAAGTCAAATGTGGATAAATACAGGGGGGCGGAGGGAGTATAATTTTTTAATATATTCCCTTCAAATTTTGTAGTCAGAATTTCTTTTAAATTTAGACTCTAAAGTGTTACTCCCTCCGTCCTAAAACCACCATCCCGTTTGTATTTTTGAGGTTTGACCAACTTTATTTTCAAGACGAAAAGAGTAAATGTTAAGGTTATGAGCAATGCAAATTATATCATGGACCTAAGATTCATGGTGGACCTTTATATATGCATTATAAGTATTTTCAACGGTTGAAATAAGTATTTTTAAAAATAAAAAAAATGTGAGAAAGTCGATGTAAACCTTAGGTCCACCGTAGAGTCACTCACTCTTTTAACAAAGCCAAGAAATTACTCCCTATAAATCTATAATAAAACAAAAAGAGAAAAAATAAAGATAGAGGTAATCACTAGCTTAATTTACATGTAGTCATGAAGAAGATAATCATAGGATAAGAAATCATTGTCACAAATAAATAAAGTTATGGTATCATATCATATGATCCTCTACGTACGTACCTCATCCGCTTTAATTTCCTTTAGTTTTTCCTTTTCTTTCTTTCTCTGCATATCTCCTTTATTTCTTTCTCCTTTACCTATAGCTTAGTATTCCCTTTGCTCCCTCTCCCTTTGCTACACTATATTCTCCACCATATGTAGTGTTTCCAAATTAAAGAAAAACCAGTCTCCCTTAGCTTTATTAAAGAAAGAACTAAAGCAAAAGAGTAAAGAGAGAAGTTCATCCTCAAAGAGAGAAAGAAATTAAAGAAATCCAATTTAATCATGGCTTTCTCTTCTTTTTCTATCTATTTAGATCAATCCAATTTGCAGCTGCAGGTAATTAAGCTACATACCTCAGGTTCTTAATTATATTCCTTTCCTTCAATTCCTTCCTAATTATATCCCAAAAGGGGATTTAGAAATTGAAATATTCATATTCCTAGCTTTATTTGTAGCTTCTTTTAATTACTTCAATTCTTTTAAGCCTTTTTTTTGCTGAATATGCTTGAAGTAAGGAAGTGAAGTGAATATTGGTGGAATAAATCCATCATAAGTATATTTATTCCAACAAATATATACTCATCACTCATCACTTGAGTTCTTTTCTTGTTTGTTTGTTGAAATATGGTCACAACAGCCTTACAATCAACAAGAAAGTGGCGTCGAGAACCCCCAAGTGTTGTCACCGCCACCCCTGCCAGCACCGGCTCAGGTGGGTGCTGGTGGCGAGCACGGTTCGATCCGACCTGGCTCGATGGTGGATCGAGCCCGGCTAGCTAGGGTTCCGCTGCCGGAAAACGGCTTGAAGTGCCCTAGGTGTGAGTCCACGAGCACCAAGTTTTGTTACTTCAATAACTATAGCCTGATGCAGCCCAGACACTTTTGCAAGACGTGCCGCCGCTACTGGACTCGGGGAGGGGCTATGAGAAATGTTCCGGTCGGCGGAGGCTGCCGGAGGAACAAGCGGAGGAAGAGCGGTGCAAAACCTGACGGAGGCACCGCCACCCCGGAGAAGCAAAGCGGCTTTAACCTTGTGGGTGAAAACTCGTCGATCTCTGGTGGTGGTGGTGTTGGTGGTGGTGGTGGGGGTGCATGCCCTATTACTTCCGGAAACGTTGAAATTTCCGGCAAGTTTTCAACTCATGAGCTACCACCGCTGCTCACGAGCACGGCATTTCAAGCTGGCTTGAGCCACTACGGACGCAGCGGTGGTAATATCGGCTCGAGTGCGGGCCGAAGCTTTCTTCTGGCCCCGCAACTTGCCGCCTATGAAAATAATAATATAGCGTTTAACAACAACGACAACAACAACAACAACAACAACAACACGCATTTCATATCAACGGGAGAAGCCGAGCCGTGGAGGTTTCTGGGCTCCTTAACCGGCTTTGAGCCGCCGCCGCCGCCATCAACAGATTTATTCGCTATTCAAGGTGGAGGAACTCTAACACCGTCGGGAAGAGTGGAAGAGAGTCAAGGGCTGAATAGTAATTATCCAACAAGGCTGCTTTTGGGTAATATGGAGAATAATCAATACTGGGTTGGTGGCAGCGGCGGCGGCGGTGTGAGTAACAGTAGCTGGACTGGAGGGTACTCCGGTCATTTCAACTCTTCTTCCACCGGCCATCGTCTTCTATGATCAGCGGTGGCAACTATATATTCTGCGAATATATAAACCCTAGCTACTGAATTATTGCAGTACGTGGATATGATCTTGTGGGTGTGTGATTTTTAACTATAAACCCTTTCTAGACTTTAAATTAATTACTCCTTATTTGATCTTTTATTACTTCGTATGTGTTTCCTTCTTTAATACTCCGATCCGTAGCCCTAAATTTGAGCACTATCTTTTTCCTTCTTTTTTTTCTTTAAAACAATTTGAGCATTTTATTTTTGAATAAATTATTAGAATACTTTCATTTTTTGCACGATCTTTCAAAGATAATTTCATTTTTTTTAATGTTATGTGAAGTTTTTTCTAACTTTTCAAGTTTCACACAGATTCAAAAAAAAGTATTGAAACTAGTACTCCGTTAAAAAAGAATGGAGCTAGCGGGCGTGTAATTTATGGCCCTGTTTGGGAATAGCGTTAGAGATTAGCGTTAGCTTTTTAGATAAAATTTTAACGGTGCAGATTGCTTTGAAAACGCTAACGCTAAACGCTGCCCGTAGATAGCCTTTTCAAAACGCTAACGCTAATCGTTAACGCTATTCCCAAACAGGCCCTATAACTGTAAATTTCATTTTAAAACCCCATACTACTCCCTCTATTCCTTTAAACCCTTCCACTTTTGACTTTGGACAAAAATAAAGAAAGTGTAATTTTGGTTGACTTTCCAATTTTGCTCCTGATGTGATGGGTAAAAGTAAGATGTGATAGTTTGGTTATTAGAGAAAAAGTATGATGTGGAGGTAGGGTATGAAAAAGTAAGGGTAAAAGTGGTTTTTAATAGAAAGTGAAAGTGTTTTAGGGAATTTAAAAAAAACAAAAGGAGAAAAGTTTTGTGGAACGGAGGGAGTATATGTTTAAGGGATGTGTTTAATGCTTTCACCTTTAGTTGGTTGATACTAGTACCCTTTTCTTTATACATTAAAAAAGATTAAATATAGACATTTTATATGTGATCTTTATTTAATTTTTAGTGTACTCCAATTTCTTCGACCTAAAATTATTTATCCAATTTCCAAAATAATTTAGTACCTATTTTTTTCTCTTTCAACTAAAGTAGAGCTATTTGCATTGGTCTAAAATACTTTTAACTCTTCATTTTCCTACATATTTCTCAATATTTTTGTTCTAAAATTAAATCAAAATTAGAGAATTTTTTCACACCGGGAATTCGGGAAAGCATTAAAAAAAGTCATAATCATTGCATCAACTTTCAAAAATGAAAGAAGTTCTAGCTTGTGAAAGAAGGATGAGCCCCCTCAGGGTCCCTTCAGAATGAAACATGCATCTGTATTTGACTGACAAAGAATGAAACATGCATCTGTGTTTGCAAAGGTCATTTACTTAGATCCTATTTTTTGTTGGAAAAATTAATTTCTAACAATTTCCAACTTCTTCCAGTTTATTACTTTATTTCAACTTCTTCGAGTTCATTCCAATTTTTTTCAATAACGACCTAAAATGTATTTATATATAATGAATATACAGTAACAATACATATCCAAATCTATAACATACTGTCTCAAATATGGATTAAGATGAATTCTTTTTTATCCAAAATTAGAATTTTCTTACATATTTATTTATATGTTATTTAATTAAATAACCTTTTAATACTTTAATTCTTCCAGTATTTTCTAACTCCATCCAATTTCTTCCAACCCCTTTCATTTTTTTTCAACATCCATCTCTGAGATCAGATCGAGTTCCAACCGAAAAAAACAAGGCTTTAGTTTAAAAATTCTAGTTAGCTAATTATTAATGGTATGCTAAATTTTATACTTCGTATACGAAAGGGTTAAAGTTCAGTTTGGATATGGATGGGTTTGGTTTTCACCCAAAACCAAATGCAAACGTAGGGTTAAAGTTCGCTTTGGATTTATGTGAAAAATATGTGTCGAGCGTCAAAGAAATATCTAGAAAATTCCAAATACTTCCAAAGCCTTGGTATGTAATTATCAATCATGGGGTATTTCATATTTGTGTTTTTGCCTTTTTGGTATAATATAATACTTTCATTTCCATTATAATATCAAAGTTTTTCATGTAAATATGTAAATTATTCGTATCAATTTTTAGTCTTTATATAACTTTGTATTAGGATAAGTTATTGGTGTTAATATTTTAAGATGTTCTAAAGTGTATAATATGGTTTAAAATAAAATTTTAAGTAGTAATTAAGGCAAAAAAAACTTTAATTGATTGATTAGCTATTTGTATTTATATTTAAATTATTTTTTTGGATACCACATGTACTCATATACATAAAAGAAGTACATGTAAAAGTTTGGTTTATTTTATTCAGTTTTCCGCGCTGGGGTGAAAATTAAAATGGAAACAAAAAAATAACAGTTCAGTTCGGTTTTTTTGCATTCGGTTTTGAATTTTCTCGCTCATTTTGCTCAATTTTGATTCGGTTTGCGGTTTTTTATTTTCCCAATCTAGCCCTAAAAAAGAGTGTTTAACATCTGCTAATTGAGGTTGGCTGTTTGAGTTTGAAATTGATTTTTTTATTATTTATCCCTATCCTTGTATGTAATTTTTTTGAATAAATAAAAAATATTTATATGCTGCATAAAGAAGTTAAAATAAATAAATAATAAATACTCCTTCCTCAATGAAATTTCACAGAGGGATTTACGAAAAAAATATTTATTTGGAATATTTTACTTTATAATTGGTAAAAAAAATTAAATTATATATTTAAGAATTATGTCAACAGCCTTCAGAACAAAAATTAATATGGTTATATTATTTTATCAAATATCAACACAACAAAAAAGTAAATAAACATTAATGTGACTTTAGAATAGTACCTTAAAATTTTATTTGAGGAAAGAAGAATATATATAAATAAACAATATGTACATACATCATACCGGAGTATTATATTGCAAAACATATTATACTCCTTCCGTCCCACTAAACCTTTCTTCTTTTTTTTTCATCCGTCCCAAAAAAAATTTTTCATTTCTATTAAAAAGTCATTTTTACTCCTACTAATTCTTAACTCACATATCACATCAAACTTTTTCACTACTAATCTACCCATCAAGTTTACTTTAAGCTATCACATCTAAAGGCATTTTTGGAAAGCTAGTTAACACCAAAATATACTTCTCTTAAATTCCTTAAAATTCAAAATAAGAAATATTTTGTGGGACAGAGAAAGAATCATATAATTATATATGTGAGAATGTTTTTAAATATAATTTAATCTATAAAAAGTATTTAGAAGAAGCTGAGTTTGTCAAACATTTTCATCGACAACTAATATAATCGCCAAGTCAAAACAACCAATTCAAGGTATATTCATTTGGATTGGATAAATAACTTTTAATTTTTTCCAACTTCTTCAATTCCAGTTTCTTTCAAATTCTTTTAGTTTCTCTAACAATGATATAAAAAAAATATTTACATATGATTGATATATAGTAACATCATATATCCAAATCCATAACACATCATCTCAAACAGAGACAGATGAATTTTTTATCAAAAATTAGTTTTCTTACATGTATATTTATTTGGGTGTAGTGAATATTTAATTATTGAATATTTTTTAACACTTTATTTTTTCTAACATTTACCAAGTTCTTCCAAACAAGGCCTTAGTTAGATTCAAAGTTAGATTTATGAATGAGAAAAAGTGAAAGGTAGTTCCCATTCAAACATCGCTAGCTGAAATGGACTCTTCTTTAATGATTGAGAGACAATAGATGCAATATATACTGCGTATGTAAAAACAGTACGGAAGGTTGCAGCATGCATGCCGGCTCCTTTGTCTTTAATTTGCTTTCATTCAAGCGGCTGGCCGCCGTCTCATCACCTTAATTCGTAGCATCATATGGCTTCTTGCACCCCCCCCCCATTCAAATCTCTCTCTCCTTTTTTTATTCTCAAATATGTCTAGTATAGCAAAATAAAACATTATCACTAATTTTAAGAACTCCCGTAGTATATTTCAAATGATGTGGAATTTGAGAGTTCTTACCAAAAATTTTGGGTAATCGAAAATATATTGCAGATAATGTGGAACCTGCAAGTCATTACCAAAATAATCGATCGTATCCCGGAGTAGTTTTCAGCCAAAATTACACTCCCGCATCTCAATAAAAATCACTATAATTGTTTAGAAATTCAAAAGTTTAAGCGAATGACTAGAGTTTTACCCTTCTATGTAGGTTATTTTCATTTCTCTCTATGTTTTAGTTTTAGTGTAGAAACTCTAACACAAAATTACACAACAAATACGTGTCGCGTAAAAATTAACTACTTGTATTTATTTTCGAATATAAGAACTCCAAGAAACTCTACTCTTCGAACTTCAATTTTAGCTCTTGTAGAATTTTTGACAAATTAAGCTACATACCTACTTCGTGATTCATAACCAAGTATACGTACAAGATTGCATAAAAGCCTAATTAAGGCCCAATAGTAGCTCTAGATAGTCTAGCCCATTTAGGGTCTATTCATATAGGTTGAAAAAATTAATTTCTATTTTTTTCCAATTTCTTTCAGTTTTATTTAGCTCTTTTCAATTTATTTCAACTTTTCCCAGTTTTTTTGAACAACGAATAAAAAAAATATTTACATATGATGAATATACAATAACATCACATATCTAACTTTAAATGTGTCATCTCAAACACAGACAAAATTGTATTCTTTTTTATCCAAAGTTAGTTTCTCTTACATATTTTTTGGGTGATTATTTAATTGAGTAATTTTTTAACACTTTATTTTTTTTAACATTTTATAATTCTTTCAAATTTTTCCAATTCCTTCCAGTTTCTTTCAATTTCTTCTAGTTTCTTCCAACATTCAACATGTTTTTACAACCGAACCGAGCAGAACCTTACAATAAAAATGCTCGCTGAAACCTTTTCAGAATGAAGTTGGCGCATAAAAATCACGAATGCTGAATTTGGACAATAAAAACTCAAAAATGGGTCTAGACAATGCTTTTGTAAACAAATCATCAAGCTCAAGCTTTATACGAACATAATGAGTAGAAATCTCGCACCGTTGGACTCATTCTCGAACGATATGACATTTGTTATCACTATTCTTTATGAAACACGAGATAAGTCGCGATAAAAGAACAGACTGCTATCACAAAACAAATGAGGCCAGGAAGATGGACAAAAAGAAATCACAACGATGAAAAGCAGCCATACTTGAGCTAGCCATATATATCATCTGGAGTTGGGAATGGATTACACACATATGGTTGCTCCAATGATAAAAATGGTCACACTTTTTGTTCTTTATGTGTTGCAGTTTCCAAAGCAAAGAGTAGAATCTGAACCTGGTACTTGCAGAAGCCCTATGCTTGGCATAATTGCCTCTCTGCGCAGTTACCAAGAATCGAACTCGAGTCTTATGCTTAACATAATTGTCTCTCAGCGTAGTTGCCAAGAATCGAACTCAGGTCTTACCCCTTGTCTTGCCTCCTCTTGCATTGAAATTTTGGAAGTGATAAAAATAAGAGGCATATATAAAAGCACATTCTCCTTCCATTTAAAGAAGGGAGAATTGCGAGTCAGTCACACACATTCCATACATTTCTTTTTTCATTTTCTTGTTAACCAAATCAGCCTTTAATTAATCCTTGCCATGGATACATGATGAAAAGAACAAATGTGTATAACAGCACACACACACACACACATATATGTATAATTATGTATATATGGAAAGGATGGGGCGATCTTCCACCCACACCCCACTGAAAATGTTTGAAAAAGAGCCATGAAAACCAAAAACCCAAACGAAAGATTTTCTCATCAATTCAACCCAGCCACAGATGTGTCTGGCTGCTGCAACTGCTTATCGGCGGTTTGCAACTCGGCGGCCGCCACCACCGCCGCCCGCTTCTGTTGCTCAACATGTCTGTTAATTTTCTCAAGCAACTGTGAGGCTTTCCGCCGCCCTCTGTCCGTCCCGTTCTGGGCTAAGTCAAGCAAAGGACCCATCAATCCCAGCTCTTGAGCTTCCACCACGTTCTGCTCAGCCGAGCACAGGTGACCCAAAACCGCCGCCGCGTTCTCTTTGTTCCTGGGGGACCCACTCGCCACGAACGAAACCAAGACCGGCAAGGCTTTCGCGACCCCAATGGCTAACTTCCCTTCGGGGTGACTGGCCAGTATCGCGAGTATGGCTAACGCTTCGTCCACCATGCCGCCATGCGGCTCCGTCAGCATCTGCATTAGCGTGGGGACCACCCCGGCCCTCACCGCCTTCCCCTTGTTCCCTTGATAGATGCACAGGTTGAAAAGCGCCGTGGCGGCGTCCTTCTTCCCCCTTGGGCTCCCCTCATTTAACAGAGCAACCAATGGGGGAATGGCTCCGGAACCGCCGATTATTATTTTGTTTTCGTCCACCACCGACAGGCTGAAAAGGGCCGCCGCCGCGTTTTCCCGTGCCTCCATGCCTCCCTTCTTTAGGACATACACGATGCCGGGGACCGCACCGGAGGACATGATAGACCCTTTGTTATCCTCACATATGGATAGGTTGAGTAGCGCCGTGACCGCGTGCTCTTGGGTACGGGAATCGGGTACGGATAAAAGGCTGACCAGCAGAGGAATGGCACCGGCGACTGCTATGGCTATACGGTTGTCGGCGTTCCGTTTGGCGAGAAGCCGGATCTCGCCCGCGGCGGCCCGTTGGTCTTCTGGGTTGCCGGATCTGAGTTTGGATATCAGAGTTTCTATCTTACACTCCTCGACGGTCGACGACGAGGACGATTTTGTGTGACGGGACAAAGAAGCGCCGGGCCGTTTGGGCGGTTGGACCCCGTTTGCCTCACACCATTGGGTTATAAGGCTGCGTAAGACGTAGTTGGGGGTGAGAATGTTGTGGGTGAGGGGCTGTTGCGTCTTTGGGCAAGTGCTGTGTCCGGCTTCTATCCATTTCTCAATGCAAGAACGTTCATATGTCTACAACACATGTATAAACCCCCTCAGAAGAAACACATTAAGACAAATATAGTGTGTTTAATGGGCACAACCAAGCAAGTTTAAAGATTGGGAAAGGTGAAACATTAAGGTTTGCCTACATGTTAAGATTTACCCATTAAAGTGCTAAAAGAAAAACAATTTAAAACCACAAATGATAGATAATAAATCTAAGATTGAGATTCTTTTGACACCAAGGGCCAATGCCATAGGCAAACACAGACACTCACAGACACTAGACAGTTGGTGTCAAAAGTGGGGTTCCCCAAGTTTTTTTCGACTACACATTAACGAAAACAATGATGGTTGTTGCCATACCTGTCCTGTTGAAACAATGACCGGATCTTTCATCAGCTCCAGAGAAATAGGGCAGCGGAAATCATCTGGTATTACTGGGTTTGTCTTATTGCTTCCCTCCATAGATGTTTGTCCAGAACTAGAAGTGTTTTCATTGGCGGAGGAGGAACAATTAGCATTTTCATTCTCAGTTTCGGTCAGCACAAAATCTTTAATCTTCTTTAATAGCATTGACATCTTCTCTATGGTCGCTCCTGGATCCCCACCGGTAGAAGTAACCATCTCATGCAAAGCTACAGATTCTTGTGTGAGATCGGTTATTCCGGTTAGTTCTAACTTCTCTACCAGTCTCCTTAACACTGCTGGATCTATAGCAGTCTCACTACTTATGTTGTAAAGGGAAAACAAATCATCATATACTTCATCGTCCGGTGTATCTGCCTTCACTTTGGCCCTTCTGAACTGAGAAAGAACAAGCTCAACCTGGGAGAAAAAGAATGTTAGCGAGTTGTGAATAATCTTTTTTTTTTTTAAATGCAGTATTTTTTTAAAAAGGTGAATTTTTTTTTCTTTTTTCTTTTGTAAAGAAAGAGTCTAAAGCTGGTTTCAACCTGTTCTTTAACTTCATCTGATAAGTCAAGCTCTTCAAAAGAAATTTCACTCAAAGCTTGTTCCAGCTGGATTGTCACGTCTTGAAATCTACTCAAGATTTGATCCCTTTCTAACACCTGCAATTGATCAGATGGTGCATGCAAAGCCAGTGAAAATGCAAGTATCGCATTGAATGATAGAACTATAAAGCTAAAAAGGAAATAGAAGAACATATAAGTGTTCAGAAATAAATGCAAGAACATACTAAAGCATGGCGGAATGATGTACATAAAGAAACTGATTATTGCAAGTAACGCAGATTCAAACATCAGGAAAATATTTGAATTAGGGGTTTGGTTTAACAATGTGATGAAATGAATACAACAACCAAACACTCAGAAGGGTCTTGAGTTCCTATTACTATCTTGGTTAATCACCTTCAAATCATCATAAAAATGTTCAAGAGATTAAACAAACAAATACAAATATGATTATGGCCGACCAACAGAGACACTTTGTGTTTCAATTTGCAAAGGCATAAAGCAAAAGAAAAGGTCTTTCCAAACCATGGAATATTTGGGATCTAAACTTCAAGACTTTGTTTATGGTTAACCACATCAGATTGCAATGAAATAGAATGATTAATGGCTAATATATGGTAATCAACTGTTTCTACAATTGGCTAAAAATTATTAAAGGGTATCACATCCAAGTTTGTGTCTTTAGTGGCAAACAGGTAGGATAAAAAATCAGAGTATTAGTCCAAGAAAAATCATTATACACACTTTTTTTTCTTCTAATTTGTAACCATCAGATAAAAGTTTCAGAAGTACTGAAAATGGTGCAAAAAATAACTGCATGTCAATAGCACATCTACCTAAATATGGAATGTATTACAAATTAGTGGACTGTCTTTTTTTTATGCCACTTGAGGTCAATATGGAATATCAAATATAAAGGAGTTGCAGCATCATAGATCTTAATGGTTACTACTTCCATAATTGATAAAACCATAAAAGATTTCCCAAAAGCAGAAGAAGATATCATAAACTTGTAGATTCATTGCCTTTTCATTCGACTCCAAATTTTATCCTCCTTAGACTGCCAAACTGGGTTGTTCTAATTTCATTTTTCCATACACCAATTTCAAAAAAAAAAACAAGAAGATGAAGAAGAAGAAGAAGAAGAAGAAGAGAAAAATCCCTTTGAAGATTCAGATAACATATGGAACCCAAATTGAAGAAAAAAAAGGGAAAGAAGTTACAGAAAGCACATGAGCTAAGAGCTTCACTACCAGAAGCTTCAGGCAGCTGAAAAATGGTGAAATCGAAGACGAAAACGATTTGAGTAACCATTTTTAAATCCAGAAAGAAACTAAACCCTAAAATTTCATGAAAGGGAAAAGATCAATTGAAGCAAAAACTCTAATTTAAGCAAGGGAACAGACCAGGAAAATCTTGCTGCCCTCGCCGCCGAATTTGAGCAAATCCTTAGCAGACTGGAGAGCGAGGTTCAAGGAGAGCAGAGCATCCATGGAGGGTTGAGGGAGCTTCTCTTTGCCGTCGCGAATCTCTTCGAACATCGGAGTCAGAAGCTTCAGCCGCCGCGCCAGAGTGCAGAATTGCCTCTTCACCGCCGACCTGAAGTCCGGAATGCCCGAAATCTCGTTCACCACCTCAATAAGCTTCCTCGCTGTGGCTTCCTTCTCCTCCTCCATTATTATCACAGTGTATCGGAAAGATAGATTTACCAAATAGAATAAATTATTAAGCTAGAGAGAAAAAAAGAAGAAGAAGAAAATCAAATCTGGTTGCAGCGAGTTGACCGGTGCCCCGACCAGATTGCGGTCCGTGACGGCGCCGCCGCCATTTCAGGCAGAGTGAATCTGGTAGGGCGGCCGGGAAAAAAAGACGGTGGAGTGGGTTTGCGGAGGAAGAGGCGGTCGGGGCGAGGAAGAAAGAGGGGAAGGAGGAGGAGACAGCAATGGAGTGTTTGAAGTGTATAAACGTTTTCCAGGGTGCCTTAGACGCGTCACTGCAAGTCGATGATGATGCTGACAGCCATGAACTGATTGTTTCTTCCTCCTCCCCCTCTTCTTCTTCTTCTTTCCTTCTTATTTTTACTATTTTACAGTGTTTCATTTTTTACTGCTTTGACTCCATCGCCGTCCTCGTCATAAAAAGATGAACTAATGAAGAAGAAGTTGATGTTTTTTTTCCTTCAATCAAATAGACAAATGCCCCGGTTTATGTGTCTTGTTTGCCTGAAATTTTTTACTGTCATCATACTAATCTTTTTCTTTTTTTAATTATGTAATAGAAAATGATAAATAGAATTAAAAAATACTCCCTCCGTCCTGCTATATTCGTTCACTTTTGACTTTTGGAATTGTTCATCTAAGCACTTTGACTCATCAAATTCTCTCAATGTGTAAGCCTAAATATAGTCATGTGTGATCTTGTTTGATTTGTCTAACATATAGATTATTAATATATAATTTCTATAATTTTTTAATATACAAATTACAAGATAAAATGGATTAAAGAAGTGTATTGGATGGTGTGCAAAAATGAAAGTGGACAAATATTCTGAGAGTGAGGTAGTAAGTCATTTACTTATGTAGTCTCTCTCTTCTCAAAAAGATTTTCTATTTTGACCAAGAAATAAGGAAGTGTTAAATTATAATTGACTTCCAATTTTATCTTTGATGTGATGGTAAAAGTATGATATGATGGATAAATTGTTAGAGAAAAAATATAATGTGATAGGTAGGGTATGAAAAAATAAGGGTAAAAAGGATTTTTTTTTAAATAGAAAGTTGAAATGTTTTGTTGGATCGGAAGTGAAAAGAAATGAAAGGGTAAGTGTTTTTGAGAACGGAGGGAGTAGGATTTAAAAATTTTTAATGCATATGTGAGAAGGTTTACCATTTACATGCACCTTAGGATATACTCCGTATAAAAATTTACTTTCTTATAAAACTAATCTATTTAATAATAAAAGTTTGCACACACTCTAATAAAAAAAGGTAATGTTAAGTGTATAGCAAAATGAAGTATCTAATTTGTACACTTAGAAAAACACACACACATAAACACTAAATATTTGTGCGTGTACAAACATGAAATCTATATACTCCGTATGTTTCTATTTTTGCTTTGTATATAAAAAAATACCTTATTTTGGTATCCTCTAGCATTATTGATAAAAAAAAGAGTTTTTTTTAGGGAATATTAAAAAAAGAGTTGGTGCATACCACTCTCTCAATATTTGAACTCTTATTTTCAGTATTGGTATTCCAAAATGTATTACTCACCTCTCACATGTATAGTGTAATTTGAAGTGTCAACACTAAAAAGTACTCCGTATATTGTAAATATCATTTATCTGTTGAATCAAAAGTTTTGACACCCTCTCCATTCTTAAAAAAATTGCAAGTTATTCTAACTCTCTTTATCTAATATTGGTATAGCAATACAAAATAAAATTCGTATATTTGAAAACTATATAAAAAATTCTACAAAACATAATGTGACAAAAATATTTTAAATTATTAAATAATTAATAAATAAATACAAATAAATAAAAATTATCATCATTTTGAAATAGTACAATTTGCAATCTATTTAGAAATGTATGAAGTTTTGAAAAAGATTTAAGAGATAACTTTTTCCGTAAAAAAGTCATTGAGAATTGTTATTAGCACATTTTCGGTCCCATTTGGTAATAACATTAGCGTTTCGAATGAGTCTTCTAATACGAACTAGTTGTCTTTAGTGTTATCGTTTTCAAATTATTAAAAATGTATCTAAAATCGGACTGGTTCCAACTTCCAATGACACAGGAGAACGGTGCCACTCTGATACCACTGGCTTTTTGGGGCACCTCCGATGCTCCGTTCATAAAATTGACGGTTCATACCCCCCTAACTCACCCCCTAAACCCCCCACCCTACACCCACCCCTGTACCCCACACCAACCCCGCCGTAAGCCCCCCACAAAATGTGTGGCTATTATGCATATCGGCAGGGTTGGGGTCGGGGTAGGGTGAGGGGTTTAGGGAGTGAGTTAGGGGGTGTAGGAACCGTCAATTTTACGAACGGAGCACCGCAGGTGCCCCAAAAAGCTAGTGGCACCGCTAGTGGTACCGTTTTCCGGTGTCACTAGAACCGGGCCGATCTAAAATATGAGGCCAGTTCTAGAGCCACTGGAATCCAGTGGCATCGGAAGCCATTGCCCCCTTACGGAGCTCCGTTCATGAAATTGATGATTCCTACCACTTAACTCCCCCCCCCCACCAAGTTTCGACCCAAACTACTCCCGCCACCTAAGTCAATTGCACCTCGCAAGTATAATTGACTTTAAAGTCAAAATTTTTAATTTTATACTTGCGAGGTGCAATTGACGTAGGTGAGATAGTAGTTTGGGTCGAGACTTGGCGGGGGATTTACCGGAGAGTTAGGAGGTAGAAATCATCAATTTCATGAACGGAGCTCCGTAGGAGGGCAAATGTTCATAAGAAATGTTGTTCACAAATGAAGGCTTCTCCTTTATTAAATTTATTAGTCCTTTAATCTCGGCTTTAAACGTTTAATGGAAAATTGGATCCCAATTAACGACATTGTTATCGTCATTCGTCAGAGAGGAAACCCTGAAATCATGTGAGATGTTCCTTACACGTGAATTAATGATTATTATGCCCTACGCCACGGTAATTTACAATGACAAATTTAAGAGTTTACCTTTATTCCCATGACATTGGGAACCAATGTCATTGTATGACCCGGGATACTTCGGTGCTCCATTCGTAAAATTGACATTTCTTACCCCCTAACCCCCACTCCGTCCCGATCCGAACACGCCCCCTAGCCCTTTCAATTGCACCCTCAAGTTGATTTGACTTTAGAGTCAAATTTTGATTTCAAAGTCAAAATCAACTTGGGGGTGCAATTGAAGGGGACATGGGGCGTGTTCAGATCGGAGCGGAGTGGGAGGGTTTACCGAGGGGTTAGGGGGTAGGAACCGTCAATTTTACGAACGGAGCACTGGAGCACCCCCGGGTCATCCCATGACATTGGTTCCTAACTAGACTCGAACCCGTGCGTTGCACGGCCTAAGTTAAAACTAAATAAATAGGGGAAGCATTGATAGAAGTAAAAGATAAAATTTGTTTTAAAGAAAGATACGTAATATATATTAAAGAGGATGAGTTTTACAACAACGCACAATGTGATAGAATAACATTATAAGTTTTGGAAAACTTCCTTATAAACTACATTTTCAGTTTTATTAGATGTCACAGGATCTTCACCACAAATCAGCATGTCACTTAAGAAATCTGAATTTGAATCAAATTTACACATACACAGCATCTGAAATCAAGTAACTTCTAGCTTCTCCCGTTTTGTTCAGTGAGGTCATGGATTCATTGATTTCATCCACAACGTCTAGTGTTGGTGCCAAGATTGCTCTACTTTGCAAAATATGCTGGATCAATCGCAATATTGTGAAAGTCTGGATAAGTTGAATTTGCTACAGACACAATTAAATGTTTATTTCGTTAACCAATGTTTAATTCGTTTGATTGGTTCGTAGCTTTATGTACGACAGATCGTAGTTTACAATTATTAATTGCTTTAATCAAAATTTATATGCTCTAGATAACAATACATTTTCTTTAAAAAAAATTAGTGTTAAATCAAAATAGAAGGACACTTCTCTTCTTTTAAATCAAAATATGTAAGTCATAGAGCCATGAAATTTAGTATATTTTCAAAAAATGTTTTTGAATTATTCCTTCTTTTTTTAATTAGCATCAGAATTTGCATTAAATAGTTTGTGGCTCAATACCCACATGTTCCAATGTATTTCATCTATCACATGCGTTAACTAATGTTTAATTTATATGAAGGGTCGAGACTCTAGGTAAGAAAACTCAAAATTCACAACTATATTGCTTTAATCAATATTTATAAACTCTAGATAATAAAATATCTTGGTTAAAGTGAAAGGCAAGCCGTCAAAATACATATCCCAAAACATGCTTTTAATGCCTTCGCGGGTACCAAAGACTCATTAGCCCAACCAAAAACCCATTTGCCTAATCGGATAAATTTTCTTCTTTGCCCAATTCGATACCCGAACTTAATATCCAAACCGTGCCTGAGAACTTTAGGCGGGAAGATAGCACAATTCATTTCTTCCCTTTATAAATAACATAAAGTATGGGGCAACCAACTCTCCACATTAAGGGCCTGTTTGGAAATAGCGTTAGAGATTAGCGTTAGCGTTTTGGATAAAATTTTAACAATGCAGATCACTTTAAAAACACTAATGCTAAATGCTGGCCGTAAATAGCCTTTTCAAAACGCTAATGCTAATCGCTAACGGTATTCCCAAACAGGCCCTAAATGCATGTTTTTGTTAAACCTTTTTTTATTTGATTAGACATAAAGATTGCCTTGAGCCACGCAATTCTTTTTCTCGATTCTCGAAAACATAAAGCATGCATTTTTCAAGCTTTTCCTTTTTTTCATTTTTCCAAGAAGAGTAATGATGAAGCACGCGATTTTATGACTACAAATCAAACTCTCCACATTAAATGTATATATTCGTTAAATCTTTCTTTTATTCGATTAGACATAAAGTTTGCCTTAAACCGCGCATTTCTTTTTCTCGATTTTCGAAAACATAAAGCATGCATTTTCAAGCTTTTGCTTTTTCGTTTTTCCATAAAGAATTATGATGAAGCATGCAATTTTATTTCTACACATCCAACTATCCACATTAAATGCATATATTTGTTAAATCTTTTCTTTTATGAGATTAGACATAAAGATTGCCCTAAGCCACATATTTCTTTTTCTCAATTCTCGAAAACACAAAGCATGCATCACCATGAAAACTTCACATTAAATACCAATAAACTTAAAAGACCAAATCAATATTAAACTTGAACTCTACTTTCACCCATCACCATAGGAAAAGTTACCTTCTTTTAGTGATGGTGATCTGCAACGCCATAGAGATAAACACATAACCAAAGATAACCATTAGAAAAAAAAGAATCAATTGTTTATGCCTTTTAAATCAAGTTTATTGACATTTTCACATCTTTTTTAAAGTAAATTTTTACAACATGCAGTGAAGGAAACAAAAGGCACACATAAAGCATAAAGCATTTAAGTACAAATATTATTCCATCACTGAACCATTTTTAATCTGCATGTTGGGCTCATAAATATTATATTCATTTTTCCATCACTTAACAATTTTTTTGAAGATTAAAAATATTTTTAAGTACTGAGATTGTATTTAAGATTTAATTTTAATTAAGATCAAAATATAATTCATGTTTAGCTAGATAAATTCATACTTGAAAAACTACAACTGCGGCAAATATTAAAGTGAAAGAAACCGACTTCACAAATATTTGTAATCTTCTTGCTTTGAATTTCAGCCACGACCGTAGAAGGCAAGGCAACGACAAAGTTACTTAGCCTGCAGCACCGCCAAAAAAACAAAACTCAAAATTTGTAAAAGATATGCAAACTGATTGCGAGAAAGATCAATATTTACTGGTAGTCAGGCTATATTGAGATTACATATCGAATTGCAAGAACATAGTAGTAATTAGTCACATGAGTACTAAATCTCTTTCCAACAAAATAAAGAAATGGTTACAATAGATGAAAATAAAAATACTTTTACTGATTCGAACCAAAGTGGATATTAGGACTCGAGCTCCATCAATCATCAATTGGTTGCAATTTCATTCAATCTAGCTCGAGAGGGGAAACAAAAAGCTACATTACAATTTAAAACTATATAGCTAAAATATTGTAATTAAGATCGAATGAACCATAAATGAAATTTATTCATTTGTGTGCTATTAACATACATACATTAGTATTATCACATTTCTTCTGTCCCCTATAATCAAAATTGTATACTACCTTTTGAAAGATGGCCAAATAGTCAGATTCAATCTGACTGCATATTCATAAGAAACAAAATTAGTTACATTAAAAAATATACATCATATTTTTTCATCCATACATCATAATTAGAACCCATAATTAAAACTGTGTACTCCATTCCAAAGATGACAGTCATGGGACAATTCTATTTCATACAACCCAACATAGTATTTAAAAGTGAATAGTATGATATACATTAAACAACATTACATTCAATATATGAATATCATTTAAGAAAAAGTCAACAACCAACCTCCTAGATAACGATTAAACTAAAGAAAAGAATCCATTTACAATTATAAACCAAGAGTGGGCCGAGTTCATTCAAAATGAAAAATAAGATAAAAAAGTAATCTTCATCAACAAACATTCATAAACAAAACTTAAAAAAGAAAGTTCGTCTCCTACTTTCGGAGTTCTCGACGGTCGGCTAGAGTTTTCTCTTCTCTTGCTTCAATCTACTTTCAATCTACTGATTCTCTGGTGTTTTTAAATGGATCCGACCAATATTGATAATGGTATAGCAGCGATTTCTCTGGACAACGAGGATGAAGATGGTTTGGTCTTTGGCGATGAAATTGGGGACTCATCAATTCAGCAGCCGGCTTACGATTTCTGCCTCGTGGGCCGGTTCCTTACAGAGCGTCCGGTCAATTTTGTGGCGATGAAGAATACGATGGCTTCTCTGTGGCGTCCGGAGGAAGGAATGGTGGTGAAGGAAGTGGGCGCAGGTTTGTATATCTTCCAATTTGGTGCATTGGCAGAGATGGAGCGGGTAATGGAGATGTGTCCGTGGTCTTTCAATAACCAAGCGCTACTCCTAGAACGACTGGGTAGATCTCAAGATCCCTCCGAGGTGTCGCTGCATCATCTCTATGTGTGGGTGCGAGTCTATGGGTTAAAACGCGGTTTCTTCTCGGAAAGAGTGGCTCAACGATTGGGGAATGAGATTGGTCAGTTTGTTGAGGCAGACCCTAAAAATTTTAGCAACCCATGGTCCTCCTATCTTAGAATAAGGGTGAAGCTAGATGTGCAGAAGCCTTTGAAGAAAGGGACACGACTGAAGAGGGAAGGAAAGGAATGGTTTCATGTGGATTTTGCATATGAGAGGCTGCCCACCTTTTGTTTTGTGTGCGGTCGCTTAGGTCATG